TTTTCTGTCATAACAGCTGGCATCATGGACCACAATGTGGTGTAATATCAAAATTTATTGTCATAAGCACGCGCTAGTGATCGAACTTCCTTTGAATCTAGATGCATGATTTAAGATTAGTCATTCGTGTTCGGGCTAAAGAAATACCTAGGTAGAAAGCAGCATAAAGATGTACTACTGTCTGACAACTGTCGACGAATTTTCGAATGTTTGGGATTGATATTAGTCAAAAAATAAATATAAGAAAATGCAAAATACGTTTCTCGAATAATTAATTAATTATTTAATTGTCCACTTATCTCTCGGATATAAAAATAATCCTCTCTTAAAATTGGTTCAATTAAAAAGGAAAAAAATAATTATTGTAGAATATGATTGAAGTAGACGCAGGTATCATCAATATTTCTCTGAAATGCTTCTTTTATTAGATAATTAATATTTTATTTCTTTTCATGTTACATAATATTGTTACGTTTCTCTCTATTTGTTAGACGCGTATACATCGGGACAGCTGGTCTACGAATGGCAGGAAGGTTTGTCGGTGAATTTTATTCCTGGAATGGCACTGTCACAATTCGATTTAATGGGTTCGCCGTATAGAAATCTCACATTTTTCCGACGCGAGGGCGAATTCTCGGTACTGCAAGTATCTTTTAATTTGCAACGACACACCGGATACTTTCTCATACAAGTAAACGTTCATAAATCGTATAAAGTTTATTGCAAATAAATGTTTTCTTATGCAAAGTAACAAAGAAACTTTCTCACATCGACAGGTTTATGTGCCGTGCGTTTTGATAGTCGTGCTGAGTTGGGTATCCTTTTGGATTCATCGTGAAGCGACGAGCGATCGAGTGGGTTTAGGTACTTTTACAATCAATTTGTAAAACGCCTATTACTTTTCTTCATATTTTAATTACTTTTTACACTTAATTGTAATTTATTATATAAATATAAACGGTAAATATATAGAAAAGGGGAGCTGCCCCCGACGATCTTGACCTTGACTTATGTTGTCAAGGTCATGACCCTGAATAAGGCATTCGCCTGGCTCCTGATTGGTAACCGCATACATGGAATCTTAGCTATAAGCTCTGAGCACCAAGTGCCTGTGGTACTTAAACAGAAAAGTCTTACACGGATAACATTGTACCATAAATTTTCCAGGTATCACCACTGTCTTGACACTATCGACGATAAGCCTCGATTCCAGAACGGATTTGCCGAAAGTTAGATATGCTACCGCTCTGGATTGGTTTCTACTGATGAGTTTCGGTTACTGCATCGCCACTCTCTTAGAGTTCGCCGGCGTTCATTATTTCACGAAGGTGTCAATTTTGCATAATTACGATATTTTATTTGTTCAATCGTTTCCTTGTATTGGAACTTTCGCATCAACACAACTTTAGTTAAAAATATGCATAAAAAAGATATAATTTAAATCAATATCAATCTAATTTTGAACAATTTTTAGATTGGTAGCGGCGAGATTCCGTTAGATGACGATGAATGGGAAGAATGGAAGGGCATCACTAGCGAGGAGTTCGAGGATACGTTTCGCTCGATGATTTCTTGCAGCCCTCAAGCAGTTCATCCAGAGATTATCGATACGAGTACTAGAAAGCGTTCTCTCATATCTGCACTATACAATGTTAGTTTGATTAATTTATAAATGATTAAAGTGCAAGAATCAAGGATGTATTAGATGTATATCTAGCTGCAAAAAGTGACTGGAATTGGGCATTTATACTTTCCATATAAAAGTGAATGTTATTTATGGTCTATGAAACAATTCAATGAGATCAATATTTATACTCTTAATAATGCAATTTTACAGTTTAAAAATAATCAAAAATGCCAATATGAGCCGACACTGGATGATAATGTGTATTATAATATTTCTTTATTATAATTGGATATACGTTTCGATCTCTGCTTGAGTACATTCTTCAGTTCAAGAGATCCTCTTCAGTACATTCGAAAGTTAAAATATTAAATGATTAATCTCTTTATTCTTCTCTGAGCCTCTAATTATTACTTAATTTACAGTTTCAATAAAAATTTTTTTACTAAAACTTTTACTTCTAATTGAAATAATTTTTAATCCAAGTTCTAAATCGCCGCCAAACTTTTTATATTACTTCCAAAAATATAATAAAAATCTGTAATTTTTTCCTAATCTTTTAATTTTTTTATATATACAGGATGAGGTATTTAAAACAGGCCACCTAAATAACTCGCTTGTTTTTAACAATAGTAGGAAAAGTATCAAACAAAAGTTGCTTGGTTTCGAGGGGCATATAATGTGATATCAATAATTGTTTTGTAGGTGGAGACGTAAAGGATAGGCAAAAGTTAAATCTGTTTTTTTAAATGGAATAATGTTTTTTTTTACATTCTGATAAAGCATTTTAAGACGAATACAGAATATAGTGGGCACATTCAGCGGACTCAACAGTTGAGTGAGCGCTCGCTGTTATTGATGTATTCTTCCAGATCTAAAATTCTGATTGGATCATCTAAAAAAATACACCAATAATTTATATATATTAAAATTACTTGATATATATTAAATACTCGATTTTTTATCAGAGACTAATCTAAAAATATTTAATTTTTTTTTATTTTGTTATAAATAAATAATTTCTCCGCGACAATTTCTCGTAGAACTATTTTATGAAATATTGTATCGTTGCTAATTTAATTTCATTCTTAGCAGGACGGTGTCACATACGAACGAGACTCCTGTCATTCCATCACGGTCGCCGTTTCTTCGAAGCCGTCGACGATGGAGAGACAGACGCAAACTGAACTTATTTTACCGATATGGAAGCAGTTTTTTTATTGCTTAGTGGGAGATGAAGCTTTCAGGTATATTAAAACATAATTAAAAACATAAATTTTATAAAGTACTCGATACCGTTACCGATAATTTCTGTTCAATTTTCATTCCAATTATTTAAAAGATTTTAATTAGTATAGTTCTATTTTTTATATTATTTCTTTTTATTACTGTTTTTTATTTCCAGCATTTATATTAATTAGCAAAACTGTCATCTGTAAAATATCACTAAAATTAAATGTAAATTATGAAATATTTTATATATCATATATTTATCTTATTATAACTATTTTCTGTTTATTTATTTCTCTTTTATTACTTCCTTTATTAATAGTTACATCTATAGATTGTGCAAAAAAAGTTCTATAATTAATATCTAAAATTACAGACGTCGTCGACAGCGGGAAGTGGCTAGCAACTATCGAAAACGCGGTGATCGAATGTCAAGGAGGCACATAAATAGCGTATCTTACATCGACAGAGTGGCGCGGGTAGTCTTCCCTGCGTCTTTTGGTCTACTCAATGTCTGCTATTGGGTAGTTTATGTCACCTATCAAGAGGAATTTAAGTGGCAGGATCCGCCAATCGGATCGATAACGTCTATCACTCACTAACGAAAATATTAATAATGATAGATCGAACATACAGTGTACGTGTTACGATGGAGAAAACGAAAGAGATCACGTACGTCTTACTCGAAACTGAGTTATTAAATTTATTTTAAATTAAGTTATCACTTAAACATATATATATTGTCATAATTTTTTACTTAATCGCTTGTACATAATTCTATGAAATTCTCGCATATATAGTTGAATACGTGTTTGCGAAATGCCCTTCAATGTTAATATTCTTCATTGAACAGGACAAACACAAATCGAAAGAAACAAATAAAAAATTTATTTTTCTCATAAATTTTCGATTTAACTATCACAGCGAAAGTGTACAAATGTTAGATAATTTTCAAAGCAGTTTCCGATTTTTCTTTCTTCTCTTCTTTTTCATCATAAGTGAAAGCCCCTCGATTAACAGTCTTGGTCAATTATACCAAATTTATTAAAAAAATAAATTTCTTAAATTAATAAATTTAAAAATAAGAAAATGGAAACGGCTCAACGAACTAAAAATTAATAAGATAAAAAGATAAGCATAAGTATATATATTGTAAAATAAATTTATTAATATTTATTTACTTAATATTTAATAGATATATACAAACTGTATTAAAAAAATTTAGGATTAGCTTGAGATATTAATGTTATTATTTTATTATACTGACAATTATAAATATATGTAAACATATTATATATTACACACATATATATATCTTATATATTATTTATTATATTAAGCTATGATATCAATAATGTATATTTATTACATTATAGTAATATAAATCTGTGCGATAATATAGTGTATACCACATACGCACGCACGCGCACATACCACACACATATTGTTTGTGTGTGTGCGCGCGCGCGCGCGTGGATAGTAAATGCATATATATAATAAAACATAAAATTTTTAATAATGCAATATAAGCTTTTATTCAGTATTTATATATCAATCAAAATATTTATTTTTCAATTATTTTTAATTATTCTATTGTAGAAACAACAAGAATTTATTCAGAAGTTTGTCGCTCTTAAAATAGCTTACAAAACGGACAAGAAAATAACTTGCCGAATACGCTTTGCCATCTTCTGTTGGACAACGGTATGATTCCTCGTACAGTTACAATGATTAAAATGATTGGCTCTTACTTTTAGATCTGATCGGCCCAACAAATCTCATTGGACGTATTCAACGTCAACGAATCGTCACGTCTCAGGTATATAATATCCACGGCTAATTTGCTGGGCGAAAGCCAATCGTTTTCGGTCACCATTCGATGATGCCGATGGCCTTACTATTATTTCCGTTGAACACGATCTACTACGTCTTGTTTCGAAAAAGGTTGCTTAGCTTTCTAATTTTAATATCATGATATTGTGCTACGCATGAATCTTTCTTAGGAAAATCGAGTTTGACGCGATTTGAGACTAACATACATGCGCCGTTTTCCAATTGCGGACTCGGTTTTATTACGTGAACATTACGCATCTTGTGTCTTTTTCACAATCTCACCGGTTACAACATGGTGATTGGATATGATATTCAACATGATACTCCGTACGTGCAAATAATATGATGTAAACTTGGGAGTTGACAAAAGAAGGATTTCACGCACTTAAATATATAATATCTTAGTTTTTATCGTAATTAGCATCTTTCTATGCTTCTAACATGCATATGATATTTTTATTTAAAAAATATTTTTATATGCATATATAGAAGAAAAAATTTATCACATTCTTAACTTTCAAACGTTGTTGTAAAAGATATGTACAAAAATATTTGTTCCCTTTTATCAATGTTACATATGAAAAAATCAAAAGTTAATTCTTTTTTCATATTCTTTTTTAGAAATGATAAAAATATAGTTATATTTTTCACTTTTTTGCAATCTAAATTATTTTCCACGAAGAAGCAAAGATTATTTTATTTTAATTTGATATAAATTAAAGATACTCTATTATTTTTTTGGAAGAATTAATATGGAAATTAAAAAAATTATATATATAGTGCTAATTGATAATGTTGTGTACTAACTAGATATTCGAAGAATGATACGGAAGAGAGCAAATGTTCAGTATATAACTGCAAAGAATAATTATAACTACTTAAAAAATAATCCGAAATTTTTTAACATACAAAAATTAGACAATGCACGGTTTAAGAACTATTTGAAAGTTCTACACGTATCTATAAATGTTATTAATTTTTTTGAAAAAAGACAGTAATAATTATTGATTCAAAGACAAATATATACATATTTTATAGCAAAATATATTTTTTTGTTGCAGGAACTAAAAAAATAATATAAAATTAGCAGATTTTAAGGAAGTTCAATTTTTGATAATCGAAAATGGATAAAACAGCACGTCCCCAAACCTATAAGGATATCGATCAAAGCATTATCAAACTCGAGATGGAACCTGAACAAAATTTCAAGCCTGAAGATCTGAGTATCAACTTTGTGGAAGTTCCCTCGTTAAGAGAACACTTTAATGTCACTGTTTTGCCGAAATATAGAGGTAGAGGCAGAGGTAGAGGCAGAGGTAGAGGTGGTAGAGGCAGAGGTAGACCCAGTAATAGTTCACAAATTTCAACCTTGCCAAAGCACTTCATGGATGAAAAGACAGATTTAAAGACAATTTTGAAGAAGGAGCGTTTTCGTCCAATTCGGCCGAAACCTTTACAATCTAATACTTCTCTATTAAAACATAAATTTGAATTGCCAATGATGAACATGGCTACTTTACCATCAAATCGCACTATTCTCCCAAGTACAATGAAAGAAAAAATGCGATACGTTACACGCATTACACCTTCAGATAATGTATCTGACAAAATAAATGATATCAAACCAATTAGCAGTGATAATAGTGAAATTATTAATAATAGAAAAATTAACGCTACAAACAGTAAGACTATTAATATCGGTAATAATAGTGATACCGTAAATGTTATATCAATAACTGATGAAAGTAAAATTGATAAAACCGTAAATGTTGGAAAGTTAAACCTTACAGCAAAAATAAGTAATAGTACTAACAATAATAAAACTAGTAGTAGTAATAACAGCAATAGTAGTAGTATTAATAATAGTCATAGTATTAATAATAGTAATAAAAATTGTAACAATTACGATAAAGTTTCGCGTATCAGTAGTAATAGTAAAATAATATCTATATCTACCAAGAATAGTATCGAATTATTTTTTGAGAGCATGGCACAGACTGTATTGAATTTACCTAACGAAATACAAGCAGACATTAAAATGCAGATCTGCAAAATTGTTACCAAGGCAGAGATAGAATACTGTGCATCGCAAGTAAAACGCAAGAATATTAAAAATTAAACATTGAAACATTGACAATGTGTTAATTTATTGTTATCAAATTAAAACTTATGTTCGAAATATAATTTTTTTTATAATATAAACTAAATGTTTCAAAATGTAAGATTTAATCTATATTGCCATTGGCTGAAATGTTGAAAAATAAATCTAGACAGTAATTTTGAAACAGTAATTTTAGTTAGATCTCAGTAGATATATGAACAAAATGTAAACGACAAGAAACTTACTTAGATATTATTCTTAGCATTTATGTTTTGCTTATCAAAGTATTAGTACAACTTTCGATAAAAAAGTGTTAATTTTATTTCTTAAGCTCTTATAATTTCAAGTTAATAATACTGATGAACAGTTTATAATACATTTATAAGAAATATAATAATTCTGTATTTTACTATATGATGATATATTTATTTTTTTAATAAGAAAAAAAATTCACACAATATAATTCTTCAAGGATGTTCTAAGAATGCCTCTTGAACATCTCTCAAGAGACTTTATTGTGTAGGGAATATTCTAATAAATACAAGCACTCATACTAAATTAAATTAAATTATAAAGTAATTTCATATGTAATTATTTTTTACGTGCATTCATATTTTCAAATGTTTACTGTAATTTATATTACAGGACATGTAACATTAAGAATATACTACAGTTTATATATGTCGAAATAAATAAGAATATTAAATTTATTACAATTAGATAATATATATATTATGTATAATTAATAACATGTGTTAGGTTATATAATTTACTATAATTTTATTTTTTATAATATGCCGTAGAAAAGTGTATATAAACAAAAGTAAATATATATTAACGACAACAGCACATAATTTTAATAAAAAATTTCCCATAATATTAAAAAATGCTTAAAGTCAGTATAATATTTGAATAAATACTAATATATTATAAGTAAGCGTAATTTCTCAAATGTAAAAAAATGATGTAAGTCAAAATTATATTTATTAAAAACTATAAAGATATCTTTAATTTTGAATTGTATAATTAATCTTTGCTGATATATTACTGAATTATATAAATGGATATATATATATATATACATATTCAATTTTATTGAAAATATGAAATAATAAAAACGATAAAAAGTTCATTAATTCTATCTTTGTCAAGTTATATAGGCATGCTGTATTACAAAAATAAAAAATATATACATTTTTTTATCTAAAAAAGTAACAATCATATTTTTATTCCAAATCAATTTTTTCCAGTCCTTTATAAATATATAATAATGAAAAAAACACGCAAATTCTGTGCAAAATTTAAAACAATTATAAAAAATAAATATATATCTTAAAATAATTAAAATAGTCTACATCCGGGATAATATAAATATTTAAATGAAACAGAACTATTATAGCCTTGAATAAGTGAAGATATTGTTTCTTCAAAAACAAACTATGAAATATCTGAACAATAAATTTAAAGTAATTTATGTCTAAAAATAAAGGTAATAAAAATTACCTTTATTTTTAGACTTACTTATTAAGCTATTATGTTATTTAAGCCACACAAACACGTCGGACGAGTACAATTGCATCAAAATTTGATAAAATAATTGGTACCTTTCTTTTCATTTGATAAATATGAATATAACAATACAAAAATCACCGAAATTATTCCAAAACAATATACTAAAGATAATTACACGTCAGAACAAATTATTCATTTAAATCAAGTTATGCTTTTTTTCTCATATTTATTACAGATATATCATGACAGCGCATTAAAGGTAGAATATCCATTTATGTATAATGCATGTAATACAAACTATCAATCCCAATATGTCACGATGTCTATCTAAATGACTAATGGCTCGTGTACATACAATACTTTATATGTAAATTACGGTATGCAATGCTGTCAATCTACTAAAGTATCAAAGCGTGACGCCACTATCTTCCCATTCTTATTATTTCTGCTGGTAATGTTATACGGTGTATAAGGTATATTCTGAGTCCAGTGATTACGAGCGCTACATTTACCTAGAATAAATTTCAATATGCATCTGCATTTTCTTTATTCTCGCTGTTTAATTATACACAAAAAAATTATTAAATAAAAAATACATATATATATGTATATATAACGTGTAAATCGCAATGTATCAATCAGTGATATAATTTCATAAACTTTTCACCATCGTAAACGCACTTGTGCTCTTCTAACGAGTCTGTGTCTTCTTTGCCAAGCTTACTTTTATCAGTAAAATGTGAAATGCGAAAGTATTGCATTTGTATAGAGAGATGAATCGGAAATAAGCGATTCAAAGACGAAAATATTCTGAATGGATAAAAAGCAATGTGTAAAAGTGTACGAACAATTAAAAAATAATATTAAGGGGGAACACCAGGGTGTCGGCCGAAAAAAAGGCTCTTTTTGTGAATTTTTTTTTTTAAACTGATAGCTTGTATGAATTATTGTTTTTATATATGCGAAGTACATACATTTACGAAATTATTAAAAAAAATTCATTGAACAATATTAATATTTGTAGCTTCAGTATTCATTGATGTGCACCTCGTCTGAAAAAACATGGGTGCACGGGCGCTCGTGTTCCGTCTGAACAGGAGCTCTGAAATAAATTTTTTTAATTTTATTTTAAAGTATATGAGTGTAGTTTCAGTTGCATATACGAATTTTTTAATAAAATAATTTTAGACAAAATGGCGCTGTTTAAAAAAAAAAAAGTCACGATTTTGCGACAAAAAATCGTTATCTTTTTAATTGTTTTTTAAAAACTAATAATCCGATTGAAAAGTTCGTACGTGCAACTGAAGATAATTTCGTTGTAAACATTCTATCCAAAATTTAAATCATTCGGATAAAAATTTGCCGAGATATGTGAGCGCCCAGTTACGAAAACATGGTTTCGAGAAAAACACGTTTAAAGTTTTACAACCGATTAGTTTATATAAAACGATAAAATTTCGTAACAAATAAAAATGCGTCCAATCCGGGTGCATATGAAGTGTTCACGACTGAAGCACACAGGCAACAAAAGAATACCAGTAAAACTGACTGCAGATCAAGGGACTGCTGAATGTCCTAGCGGCATCTGACCACGTTCTACTCTATCACATATTTACTATTGTTCCGTTAAGAATTTCAACATAATATTATAGGGACATATTTTTAAGACTCCAAGCATTACAAAAATGCAAAAAGAAAATCGATTTTTTTAACTCGTCACCCTGGTGTTCCCCCTTAACGCCGTAAAGCTTCTCGTTACTACTGCCTCGCAATCTGTACCTCATACTTTTATTTTTTTTTCTTTTTTTTCGAATATATTTATAAGGAAATGCAATAACGATAAAGATAAAAGACACTAAAGGCGCAAAAGCCTTAGCTGCTTTTCGACAATAGAGACGCAAAAGCATTATACTATCATTATACGATAGTTCATTCTTCTTCTTTCTCGGCCTTTTCGACATCTTGCTTCTCCTCACCCTCTGCGATATCACCACCCTCGAATTTCGGGCCTGGTGCTTCATCGCCTTCCAGAACAATTTCCTCTGGATCAGGCGCGCGTGGTAAAAAGTCCTCATCTGGATACATAGACTTAAAAATGTTCTTAGCCTAGAAGTAAAAAATTAATAAAAATTCTGAAGAGTTATATAGTATAAATTTAAAAATCATTTATCAAAACAATTTCAGAGAAACTGTGATACTGTTTTATAGTAAATATATTTATCTCAAAAATTATACAAAATTATAAAATACTTAAAACAGTAATTTTTTAAATTATATTTTATATGTATAATAATATATTATGTTGCTATTATCTTATATCATTATAGTATACCTGATTCACAGCAAAGTCGAAATCAAGTTCAAGATCCGGTCCAGAACATAGGTGTATATTACTTGGCGCAGAATCGCTTAATTTAATGTCGCTTGCAGGTAAATTCAAATACAAAGACCATAATACTTGAGGTATTGGATACTCAGATTCTTCTTTCTCTTGTCGATCATCCTAATTATTTAGTTTGAAAAAATATATCACGTTTACTTTTACAGAATTTTAATATTTTTGATGTTTTACCTCATAAGAGATATAATTTTAAATTATTAATAACTTTTATAGAGATATTTTACCTGAAGATGCCGTTTATCAGGAGAAACTGTTTGAGTATGAGAATCAGAAGAACTACGCACAGCATTGGAATCAAGCGGTTCTGCTCTCAGGAATTTATTCACGACATATGCTAGATCCTCCTTTGCATTCTTAGTACGTTTGCATGTCATATGAACTATGACTAAAGAAAAAAAGAAATGTGTGATGCGAACATAAGTCAAATCGATTTTGAAATATGTTCATATTAATGTTATGCATACATAATCCTTGAGGGCAAGCATTAGTAGATGGTCCCAATTCAATTAGAGTAATGGCTTCTTGGTCTGGTTTTTCCGGCGGATAATACAAAAGAGTTAGACTTTCTTTCTCACCTTGCATAATTGACCTATAACAGCGAAAAAATCTCCAATAGAATATACTGTATGCATCTACATATCTTTTAAACTATAAAATATCTGCATAAAGAAAATACCTGTCAGTAATGAAAATTCCGCGCGAAATTTGATTTTCTCCCTCGGAGGCTACAATTTCTGGTGGCAAGTGTCCTTGTCCTACAACTAAATGCTCCAAAGCCAATCTCTGTTTCCCACTGATAACGGCTTTGCATTTATCCTTGTTAACTACTACGCCGTCTAATTGTCTCTTTAAACAATAAATTCCACCAAAGACTGCACATAGTCTAAAAATATGGAAAATGTCAGTTTTAGATATAATTATAAAAAAAGTTTCGGAGTTTCATGTTTTTAAAAATGTACCTGCAGAAACATTGAGGCAGTTCTCCGCTTCCATACATAGGCCATAAGAAAGGCGTATTTCCATAACGTCCAAGACTATTGAGAAAATGCTTCGTACGATTAACGCCGTCTCTACATGATGTTTTGTTCGTTGCCATTGCAATAGCTTGCATAACATAATGCTGTACTATAGGCGTAAGATTTTTCGTATTAAGATATTCTAAGAACGTTTTATCACGGAAACCTAAAAAAATTAACAAAATACATTCAATTATTATTATTATTATTATTATCATTATTATTATTATCATTATTATTATTACTATTATTAAGTAAAGAAATAAAAAAGATTATAAAATGTATCTTTATCTGATACATATACATTTGCACGCAATACACACCATCAAATTCTGGACTATCGGCGCCTTGTTCCATACAAGATGTCAAAAGTTGCATCAACATTCTTTTCTCGACTACGCTAACCGTTTTGTTCGCAAATACATCGGCACGTGAGCAAGGAACTTGCGTAAGTTTACCGTCCATAAAAGTAGCAACTCTAGAGACTGCACGAAATTCAGCATAGCGCGCAATGTTGCTAGAAATCAACAATTCTACTAATTCACCACGGGCGAATAATAGCTGCAATAGGAATCACATACCATATACATTTGTACATTAAGAATAAATGCACATGTCTACAAATAGCTATCTGTAATCTTACTTTAGGCGCCAGATCGATATTAAATCTTCTGTATTCCTTCTTGATACGGTCTATGCTCCATTGTTTCACGTTTTCCTTTTTGTCAGCCTTGTCCTGATCAGTCTTTTCCGCACCTTCGAGAGCGGCACTATCTCCAGAACTCTCAGTCTGAGTATCTTTTGAAGATACATCAGGTAAGTCAGCATCACTGTATAAAAAAGAGAACTAGTCAAAATACACAAGATATTATCTAAAAGTGTCGTTGATCAATCAATTTATGTGTGTCATTTCTTACTTGGAAATATACCAGATTTCTCCAATGTTCTCTACTGTGGAATATTGGTCACTAGCCTTCAAAAATTTTTCATTTGTTTTCAAATCGATATTTGTATTTCTAGTACTACTTTTAACTGTTTTTAAATCTTCTATCCATTTTTGTAAGCCATCAAAATTAAATGTAGCCCATAGCCCTCCATAATATTCGTTGCTAAACAAAACAAGTAAAAAATTTTACTTAATAATAATAATGCTCATGAATACTTTTTAATTATAAAAAAAAAATAGCTTTATCATATCATATCAAAAAAGGTAAAAAAAATTCTTTTATCTCTAAAATGTTTGCTAAAAATTTAATCAAGATGCTTCTTAATTTCCTTACTTCTCCTTTAATGATTAATAAAGAAAGAGACATCATCTTTTATATAATTGTGATATTATTTTATAAAAATGTTTAATAATAATTATATTTAACAATAAACACATTGACAGCATATCAAAATGCAGCAAAATTATTTCATACAATTCTGGTAATTCTTTCAAGATTTAATAAAGTAACAAAAATACTAATAAATATTAAATATAAATAACAAAAATGTTAAATAGTGATGATTGCCTTTTCAAGCTTATATACGTCAAAGACATTTTAAACTCTGTATATATAATTGACAGGTGACAGTGGGTGACAGATGCAGAGAAGAAAAGATACTCCGAACACCTGGTCGTTACCTGTCCAGATGTAGAACCCTTTTGCCGATCCTGCTTGCCGCCGCAGCGACGATAGACTCGGTCATACCTGTCAGAAATCATGATAGCGAGAATTACCGGTGAAAAAGTTTCTACTAATAAACGCGACACGCAACCATTTCCCTCGTCATGATAAGAATCAATACCTGTTCCTACGACGACCACATCGTATTCGGTCGGCAGATCGTCCTCCATGGTTGTCTCTCCCTGGTTGCTTGTTTTCGGAGCTGACCGGATTGCACAAGTGTGACAATTGATGCAAGAGGATATCGGCGAATAAATTATAAATCTATGATATATATCGCACGCGTACCGATCAATTCATTTTCCTTGACCCGACAAAATTTGCGTAAAAAAATCTGCCCCGCCCCGCACGAGACCCTCACTCACAGTTCTCGCGCACAGGCCCTACTCAAACCCTTTTTCGTTCAAAGTTTGACAGAACCAGTCAGAACGAACGGTACCAAAGCAGTCAAAAGGGCGAGCGGATCGGAGCAGATATATGCGTTGAGAGAGAAAGAGAAGGAGAGTGAGATCGTTAATCTGGATGTCTCGCTCAGTCTCGTTCATTACGAGTGTTGCGCTGCCTCACGGAGTAGGACGTGAAACATATGAGAATGCCCCAATGAGGACTCTATAAAGCCTGTATCACATTACGCATTATTGAAAATTAAAGGTGTCATCCATACTCTGTTGCAAATGTTTTGAAACATTTTTTGATTGGTTGATTCGTAAAATTCTTTCTTGTGATTGGTCAATGAAATATTTACAGCATTAAATGGATTATCCTAAAGTCGAGTGTTTCCCTTTTATTCAATTGTAAGAGAGGAATGCTCGATTATATAATTAGTCAGTTCTTACAAATTACGGCATACAGCATACACTGAAAAATTTTTGGTCCAACGAATATGATCGTTAATCAAAAAATATTCAATTTAATGTCTAATTTATTAATACAGTAACTGGATTTATTAATATAACTACATACTTATTCTCTTGCGATTAATTCTACACATACATATGAAAATGATTTAAATTAAATAAAATTCGAGCAGAACAAGTCAGAACTGTAGGAAAAAGTGCCCAAAATTAACAGCACGACATCAACGATATATATATCTAGACCAAGCATTCTAGCTGATTCTAGCTGAGACGTGAAACCAGAAGTTAGCAGTTTACGACTGAGAGAGATAGTGCGTTTGAATTCTTACTATTTCATTTTATCTTGTGGAAAGATATGGCTGATGCTGTCAAGGCTGTAAGATAGAATGAGATAGTTATAATCTTATTCTATCACAACAGAAAAATAATCAGTTTGTTGTTTTGAGTGCTATGTAGTGCAAAAATTAAGAAAATACAATAAATTAAAAAATGCAACGAATAAATTATTTTTATCTAACGTTTGCACGTATATTTGCCATATAAACAAAATATAATTAAAAATATTAACGTCTATATTGAACTCTCGATAAACAAACAATCAATAAATATATTACAAAACAGGCAAGTGAGAGTAAATTTAAAAATCTAAATATAATTATATAGATATATATGCAGTATATTATTTTATTTAATTCGGATACTATTTATTTATTAAATATAATTCTAAACTGTTAAATTCAACTATATTTTGTAAAAATCGAGTCCAGAGTTTATGCGGGAAAGAGATAAGAAATGAAAACAAATTTATAAAGTTAAAATTTATTGATGCTTAAAGAGAATAAGTTTATTAAGTTTGCTTCTAACTCTGTCTATTTTATAATTTTTGGATGCACACATATGATGACATATTATCAATGCCAAACAATAAATGTTTACAAATTTGGCACTTATAATTTTTCTTTTTACTCTTCGGGCAACAAATCCAGATATATATATGTTACTACATCTGTAATATAATTTGACATACACCATTCATCGTTAATAAACTCATTTTCTACTTCTTCCTCATTGTCATTTTTTATTGATTTGTCAGCCTATATTCATAGGCTTTCGTGGAATAAAATTGTAACGTTGCAGCAAACATTTTAATTGCTGCAGGAAAAGGTCTTTTTCTTTTTTTACTTAAGTGTCTCTTCATTATTTCTTTTTCCGTCATTGAAACATTTATCTGTTAACGAAGACTTTCAGCTTTAAGAATACTTTTTTTTAAGACATTAGTATAAAAAGTACATGTGCAAAGTACATATACTTACATATCATAGTCTATATGCTTTCCATACACAAAATTTGTTTCTGTGTAATTCATTCATTATATCATGTATGTGTATGACAGATATTTTTACAACTTACTTATAACATATCTGCAGCACCTTCTGATAAAAGTTGTCTGTCTTGCAAATGCTTTAAAAGTAATGACATAGACGTTACTCTTTTTTGTAATCGTCTGCTCCTTTGTTGCAAGATTTCTACTTTTTTTTTTAATTTTGCATTGATCTTTCTTTCATTATAAAGCTCTTTCTGCAAAGTTATTTCCTCTGTGATTGTTGAAATATCAACAGATGAACTATATAACAAACATTTATATTATGTAAAAATAGTCTACGGGGTATACCATGCATTTGTTCTTGCTGGATTGCTTGCATTTTAATAAATTATTAGTGTTTCCGAGTTCTGTATTATCCAATTTTAGTAATTTGCTAAAATGCAAACAATTCAACAAGAAAAAATCATATGCCATTGGTTTAAGTCAGAAAAATAACAAAAAAGTATTCAATTATCATATAATATTGATGTTTTATTATTTTACCTCTGTATGGTTCCAAATTTAGTTGTACGCTTCTTAGAAATAAAGGCACTTTGTCTGTATGAATTATTTTGATTCTCTTCCATGTTTATAGTAGTTTTTAAATTCTCTATGTATGATTGTTGCTGATGTACATTTATATTTCCTTTTTCTATTACTGTGATGTCCAACGTTTCACTGTATAACATGTTCACAAGCAATAAATATCTCGAAATAAGAAAGAATATAAATGATATGAATATACAGCTAAGTTCATGTTTATTTTACCTGTGAGAAGTGTTACTCGTTGTTGAAAGCTCAGTTGAAAAGTTCTCACAATTAATATTAAATTTATCACATTCTCGTAACTATTTTTAGAGCAAAATAAAAAAAAAGTAATTAATATGTGAGTTTCTTACGTTTTTTATTCGTTATTTAATCAAAGATAAAATTTACTTTTCAGATAGAATTGCGTTTCAAGACCGACGACTGTTCGGCGCGCAAGTTGGAGGGGTGAAAGAGAATATATATATATATTACTTTGGATAAATATTGCAAAGAATATTACTACGTTGACCTCCTTAGAGATCTGTAGATATTCGCAAAATTCTCGCAGGTGCTTTGATACGCGTATGTCTCTTTATATAGAATCTCGACTAGATAACTTTCTCAGGCGTATAAGGTAGGCTTCTACTACAATGCCTTAGTAATGAGTCCAGTAGTGGAAGCTGAGACAAAACGTCATAATTACGTAATATTCTTCGCAATATATTAGATTAATTTAAAAAGATTTTAACGAAATTATTGGTTTATTGCCCTTATATCTCTTTATATTAGTTGTTAAATACATATTGAGCATTATCACAAACATTTCAAAGATAAAATTGTATACTTACTGGTTTGTTAATTTTTAAATATGTTTTTACAGGCATGTTAAATATGCTAGGTACAGCATTAGCTTTTAAATAAATTTTTCCACTACATGTTGACAGAAAAGAATCCTTTGAAAAATGCTGGCTACATATACGTGCATTTGCAATAGGCGTAAAGTTTCCAATATGTTTATTAATTGCTGTTAGCCATTGTTGCCTTCGAGCCTCAATTTTTGGGAACCTTAAATTAATTATAATTAAATTAAAAGATTAATTTTGTAAATTGTGTAATAATTTCAATAATTAAAAATTAAAATATCTATATATATTCGTATACCTGTGAAAATTTAGTCCATCACCATATTTAATTTTACAAATACAACAATTCATTTTTAATATTATTTATAATGAACTATTGCATTTGTAATAATATTAATATTATTACAAATCAACACTGAAATTAGTACAAGTTATCTGGAAACACAGTAGTATCTCGGTTATAGGTTATCGTAGGCTATTGACAATATAGACGTAAACTAAAGATGCACATAAAATATGATTGGATAATTTTCTTTATGCATACGTTTATGCAAGTTATGTGGAAAGCTTTAAAGCGGGGAGCACAGACTTTTGCATAACGCATAAAGCATGTGCATAAGGAATTTCATTGGCCCATTTTCTTATGCATGAGTCAATGGACCAATCAAATTCTTTATGTATATGGTTTATGCGTTATGCAGAAGTCTGTGCTCCCCGCTTAAGCCTCTCACACATGAAATGCATAACAGTGCATAAACATAACATAAGACCGCTGGACCAATAAGCATCCAGCATAAAGTTGCCATATTGATTAACATAAGGTGCTCATTGGTCCAGCGGTTAGACACTTTTGAATATATATATTCTCTGAAAAGTAGATGTGCTATGTTTATGTTTACTTCTTCAGAGGGCAGTAGTGCGCTGCAGCATTTTACTTACTGGTAGAAAGCCCTTATGACCTCTCTTTTCTCAGGTTTCTGTCTAATAAAAGTAGGGGGGGTTATTTCATCACTGTTTATCTTTATCACGAAGAACGAAATACCACGAAATACTAAAGAGCACTAAGAGGAATACTTAATGTCGATTTTAAGGACCAATTTGTGGTTAAATTAATGAAAATTTAATGAGATTTTAATAATCTTTTATAAAACATAATTTCAAATAAAGCACGTATAAATTACAAAACATTTGAGAAAGATGGTGAATGATTTAAAACTGGAGTGCTCCTTTTCCTCTTGGTATCCAACATTCAAGAAAGATTCCTTAAAGGCTACAACTCTTCACATTCCGGACGCGGTTTTAAAATATTTGGAGCACGATACGTTTGTATTGCCTCTCGAGGCAGCGAAATCTTTACCGGAGGATTCCGAATGGACTGACGGCTCACCAGTGACATGTGAACAAGAGGTATTTATTTATTTATGTTTGTTTGATAAATAACAGAATTATAATCTTTATTTTAAATTTATATATATAATCAAATATATTAAATATTAAATATAATATCATAGTATGATATATACATTGTTTTAGGAAACGGATTATCAACCGACATTTCCTGAATTTAGTCAACAAATACAAGAAGTGTTAGATGAATATGATGCAGTATTTATCAAAACAAATTGGAGTACACCGGCGGTAAATTATTTTCTACCTTCTTATTTTTATTTTGCAAACATTTTTTTCAAAATTTCTGTTATTTTTTTTAAATATAAATAAGCATGTGTTTACACAAAAAAAAAAGTATCATGTGCAGTAGAAATCAAAAATTCTTTTTCTAAAATAAATACTTCGTATTTATAATAGATTAAATAGCTTTATTTATAAATTTTCTGTTATAGCAATAGTTTAATTTTGTAATAAGTGTTTTGATATAATTATAATGTGATTTATGTTAAGACATATATAAAAAGAAAATTACAGTATAATTTATATGTAATTATGTTATAGGATGCTATGTGGGTTGCACCTACAAAGACTCTCAAATGTAACACGCTAGAAGAGATCTATTTGTTACTGAAAAGCTCTGACAGGATTGCTAAAGATCTGAACATCATAAAATCTTCAAGGGACTGCCCTTTGCCATTTTGTCTGGTGTTGAAACAATGGCAAGATATCAATCCTTGCACAGAATTTCGCTGCTTTGTCATAGACAATGAGCTCATCGGTAACTTATCAACTTAGTTTGTTTTTCCTCAATTATTAAATTTTATTAACTGCTTTTGTGTTTTTCTGCCTGCTACTATAAAGTTAATGTTTGTGATAACATATCAATCATATTTTATATAGCTATAAGTCAGAGGGATATATCACAGTACCACGTTTCCAATGAATTACAAAAATATGATATACAAACAGACATCAAGAGTCTGTTTTTAGAGCGCATCAAAGGCAGATTTCCATTGAGTAACTGTAAGTAAAACACTATAAAATTAGTAATAATATTCGAATTCTTATTAACTCATAGAGCTAACTTTACTTCTGGCAGATTCCTTCGATGTTATACGATATAAGAAAGATAAAGTAAAAATAATAGATTTTGGTGCAATGGATGCAGCGTCTACGAAAGAGACGCTTTTTACGTACGAGGAATTACAAAATCATATTGAAAACACTCCAGAATTCCGTTTTATTGGAGAGGAAATAGGTATTCAGCCAAAGCCTCTGATGCAATTTTGTATTCCACAAGAGATCAGCGAGTTTTTCCAATCGAGAGATGTTACGTTACTGGATCTTATTCAAAGGGTATGTCTTCTAGTTATTGAAGAAATACACTTGCAAAATTTAGCGATTTATTTTAGTCTTTAGATTTGACACTCGATTACGACAATCGAAACTTTTCTTTATTGCAGGAAGTGGAAAGTCAACGGAAAGAGCATGAAAAAGAAAATGCTAACGTTTCAGAAAGTACTTGATGTATATATAACGTATAAATAAATATTTTCCTTATATATAAACATCAGCTGTAACTCTTTTACTCACATGTATAAGGGATACAAAACTTAAGAGAGGTATTATAAATTATTGTTACATTTTATCTTTCTCAAAGAAGGCTAATATCTAATAGTAAGTACACGCGCTAATAAGTATACGCGATTACACAACGAACGGATTCTAATCTTTAAATCTTGTTACATTACATTTTAGCTTGTTTAAATTCTACATTTTGAGATCATTCGATTACATCTCAGTGCCAAAAGGAATAATCGAACTTGTTCAATTATTTCGCTCCTTCTAAGTTATCAAATTCTGTTGGTTTCTTCATTCCGAGTTTAATACATATTACAAGAAATTCAGAATTACCTGCAATACAGATCATGTCATGATCTGTGTCAATTGAGTCAAAGCCGATAATTCTCGTAGCATGTCATGATACAATCTGAAGCTTTCGATTTATGTAAATGTAGGTATAAGTGAATGCAATTAAATGCTCTTAATCACCAAATCGCTTCTGTATTTTGGAATGCGACGCGTCTGCGCGTGTATGTGTATATGTGAATGAATGTACACCGACAGGATATTTAAATACAGAACTTTCACTTTTATTCTGCCAGACTCTCTTTTTCTATCATTACATTACATAAAACGATTAAAGGCTATCCTACCGCTTGAAAGAATTATCATAATATTGCAGTATTTTTCGAGCCATCGGCCTTTTTACCGAGCGACGTCCCTTATATAGAAAATATGTCTTGTTTATGTACAATATGCAATCCTTAATACTTCAGTTTTGAAAAAGGATCCCCGATATATGTACCTCCGGACAAGTTAATACGCTGTACAGTCATATCCAAGGAGTATTTTCATCTTTCTCTCCCTTTCTATGTTTCTCTCTGTTTCTCCCTCTCGTTCTCTCATCTCATAATCCTCATAAAAACAAACACCATAGGATGGGGCGACTACTACTGTGTGCGATTTTATCATTTTTATCTGTGGACCATGATACGTTTCTAAAACCCGAACTCGCAAAACGACCCAGCAGCTTTTCGCATCGGGCTTCGCACTTTATCTGTATAGTTCTGCCGAGTATTAAGGATGAAAAATGCTTAAATTCTAATTGTTCATAACATATCAATTTCATTAATTTTTTTAGTAATGTAAACACGATTTTTTTGAAATTATATAACGTATACATATATATATATTATAGTTTGCATTATGCTGAAAACCAATATAAAAGTTATTATATTTTGCCAATTCTTAGAAAAACTCTACAGAAACATTATTCTATATTTTGACGTTACTTAAAAATTGACAAAAACGTACAAACTGTTCTAAATTTCTGAATGAGTTATTTCATATTTAAGAGAATAATAATGTAATAAAGTGACTACATTTTTTCCTCTATCATACTTATCATGTAATTTAGACTGAAAGATTTAGAGATTCGGAAGCAAACCATATTTCCATCGCGCATTTATCAAATCTTATTTAAATAATTTTAAAATTCTTTTATCATCTAGTAAATAAAAATAGGCGATTGCGCTTGGTTTTTAATTCGAGATACGAGGCAAAGATCGGTCATCTGCAAGTGCAATATGATGAAAAAAGTTGCGAAGTCGCTTCGCAAAATAAAACCTTATTTACAAAGTATCTTCTTCCGCGAGCGAAATACGGCAGATTGTTTCGTCGCTGCTTTTGTTACACGGACAATCTTTCCCATTAATCGCGATTGCAATTTGTGCATCGGTCTCTTGCTCACAATACATACGCGAATATCAATTGAATGGATTTTATGTAAAAAGTCCCAAAGCATCCTTTATTTGAAAAAATAAGCTTGATTCTTTCTAGAGGGAAGTACGATGCCGTTTCAAGTGATAAAAATAATTGCAGCACATAGCTGTTTCTATAACTAACAACAAAGACAATAAGGAATGAGAACCAGATGCCTCCAATATAAAATAATTAATATCATACATTATAGAGTAGTGCATGGTTCCTTTTACATAAAAACTCTTCGCAACGATCTCCGGGAAATATTTCTTCTCGAGATCGCGAAAGGCCGTGTTCCTTCGCAGCGAATTTTATTTTTGAAGGTCATCCGGATTCTCAAATCGTGCAGTCAGTACTACAGGCCGCTCATTGAGCATTCAGTGAGCAAGAAAGGAATCAATATGTTTATTTATTAACTATTCATAATGTAAAATATATATTTATTTATTATAGATAATCTAATTAATTCTTATTTATTATTTTTATTATAAATAATAAAAATGTAAAATTAATTAATAGGCAATAGAGCTATTTGGCTAATTAGCTCTCAATTGCCCATTAATTTTACATTTTTTATTATCATTTAAAATCTCAATTTATTTTATATTATTTTTATTATTTCTCCAAGGCCCCTGAGAACGTGAGCGCAGTCTTAAAGAAATAACAAACAGTAATAAATATAATAAGATTATCTATAATAGATAAGTTATTCTACAAATATTATAATAAATAAATAAATTCTTTTCTTGCTTATACTAAGAGCTCAATGAATGGTCCGTAGTCTTGAATACAATAACATTCACGCGTATGTATAGCGGTGTACTCTCAAAGACAAATTTCCCTCACGAAACACATGGTTTTTCACGTGGTTCACATCATTTTCCTATCGTTCGTTATGTACATAGGAGCGCGTCTTTCTTTCACGTTCTTACATTCACACACTCGTCCTCGGTTCTCCCCTCACAATCTGAACGCTCAAATTATTTTTCGACTGATTTGTGCTAGACGACATTGCGTAGCTTAATAAATGTATGTACGTTTTGCGGTGTACAGCCATTGCTCATCCTCCGAGTCTCTCTCATCCTTCCTTCTTCCGCCTTTTGCTCGCTCGCAAATTCCCCTTCACTCTTTTCTTTTCTTTTTACGTCGCTCGTTTTAATGATACTAAAATGATGTACAACAGCATTCGCACACTCTCTCGATTCTCTTTCTCCCTTTCGCATCTTCTTTCACTCCTTCACTCGCTCTTCTTCTTTCTCTCTCTCTCTCTCTCTCGAATACTGGTAGGGTGTTGAGTGACAAAAACAGTAGTCTCTTAACAAACATACGATACAAAAACTCTTAAGTTATCGCCTAACGGCCAGTGAAAAGCGGGTTGTTTTATTTTATCATTATTTTTTTCTCCTCTCTTCTCTTTTTCTTCTTTCCTCCCTTCCTACCTCTTTAAGTACCTGAAGAAGCTAGCTTTGGGAAATCTCGCCTTGATCCGCAAACGCTAAGGCCTGAAACCGATGTGGAATCTCGGTGAGATCTGATCTTCGATCTATCCTTACTGGTGTGGCAATCGCATGGAAACCGACAATCCGCGTACATGTTGAGTATCGGAAATCGAGCTCGCCGAAATTACACCGACTCCGATCCTCGCTCTCAAATGCATCCCCTTTTCTCTTTCTCTCTTTCCTGCTTCTTCCCTTAAGTCCGCGCCTCGGATTTGCCTTAACGATGAAGACTACTCACCCCTCTATGATAAATGCGATTGGTACGACTAAATTGGGTGGCGAAAGGCCCGACTATCACCGATGAATTGAATAGTACACGTGCATCCGAGTAGTACACGTGCATGAGCTAGAAGCTATCTCTCATTGCTTCCTCTTTCAAAAAAATACGCATCTCTATTTGATGCGAGACACTCGCTCGGAATTTTATACACGCGGAGACAAAGATGTCACTCTGACATCTCTTTGTATTTTTCTCTCTTCACTTCCTCTTTCTTTTCTTTCTCTCTCTCTCTAATATACAGGAAGATAGAGCTCGTTTTCTTACTTTTATCGCGGAAATAAATATATTGAACTTGTCCTCGCTTTATACAAGTGGCTCGAGTGGAAACGCGATTCTCTCTTTCTTTGGGATACGCTTCTCTCGCGCTAAATTGAAGAAACACCGAGAGAGCCGCGAAAGAAACTCGTCGTGAGTGTAAAATGAAAGGGATGGTCTACAAAAAAAAAAACAAAGACGTTCCTCTTTTATAAATCAATTAATTTGATCTATAAATAAAACTTTCACAGATTTACTTTTTTCTGATTAAAAAGTAAACCCTCTCGCATTTTTCTGTAGACCGCCTCGATTACATAAAATCTAACTTCAATACGGAAATAAATACTTCAATATGAAAAAACAAAAATACTCGATCTCATAAATAAAAAAGGCATTTTTTCTCGGGATCTTTTTCCTTCCGTAACAAAATTAAATCAAGAAAACTCTAGAAGAATGTGTGTGATCTAGGCCACGCTATATATATAATACAATCGCATTAAATATGTAAATATCGTTAACAGATTTCCACCTTTTAATCATTCCTACAGTCAGAAGAGAGTGGCGAGTTAACATAAATATTACTTAAAACATAAATTTATTTACATACATTTCCTCACTGTTACAGAATATTTCTTCCTATAATTGAAACCCAAAATATACTTTTAGCGCTGTAAATTGTATTTAAAATAAAATAATTTGAATTAAATGACTGCGAAAAAAGGAAGAAAAAGAACAAGCGTTGGCGTGCTTCTTCTCGGAAACGCGATTCACGTTTTCACGCCGCGAGATCATAAAATTTTCTATTGTATAAGAAACACGAACGCGTATAATTACATACATGGATATTCGAATTTCCACGCTTCAGAGCTGTGGTAATCGAGATACACTAGGAAGAGATGAAGCGCACGAGGTAGGTATCTTGTTCATCCTTTAACTGAATGAGGAAATCGAAAGGAACGTATTTCGCGAATATAGTTATATTTATAACAAGAAACGATTTATATCCACATAATTCTCGTAGAGAAAAAGATATTAATCATTTCATTTGCTAGCATCTCTATTTACGTGTAGAATATGTAAATCAGAAAGAAACGCAACAATAGAAAAATCAATTAACATTATCCGTCTTATTTAGACTTTTCATATAACATAATTTACATTATCAGAATTAACTAGAAAGATTGCATCGCTCTTTAACAAATGTTTTAATACTATCGTGTTAAAAAATAGTATTATATTATATTATATATAAATACTTTTTTCATAACTTTTAACATTAAAGTTATACTAAATTTGGAAAATAAAAGTTTTCTCTTTGATCTCTGTTTAGTGTTAAATATAATCGTAAGTAATCTCTATATCAGTATGTGATATCATAATAATATATTATTATATCCAATAAATATTACATCCTTAAGTCTCTTCTAAACATAATACATTATTAAAACATACATAATTCAATTATCATTCTACGGAAATAAAAAAAGAAAACAAAAAAGATCTACAGAATGTGTTTAAATTAATTTAATTATATACAATATTTACATATTCTACACGTGTACTGCTGCTCGCTTTCCACATCGATTCATTACGCGTTTCCCTCAACGCCTTCTCGACAGAGCCTTCACTTTGGTTCATATCACGTAATGAGACACTATTCACAGGAACAGTTACACCTCGATTACTTGAAGCTACGATATTCTTTTCTTGCAACATCGAAAGAGAACAGAAAAAGAGAGAAAGAACAAACTCGACAAAGTTCTCTACATATTTATACATATATATCGCGCGCCGGGATAAAAAATTTTTGGAATGAATATCAGCGCCCGACGTACGTTTTCATTAATTAGAATTATCAATAACGAAATGTTAGATAAACTTATACTCCCACGCAACCTATACCGTTCTCACGATCTTTTATAAGTTACAAGTTTTAGAGTAAATCCATAGTAAAATTTGCAGACATTCATACGTTTCACGGTAGCACACGGAGATACGATATAAATAAATCTATCATTCTCATCTGAAACAAAGTGAAGCGTTTTTGTACTAAAGTGCAGCGATATATATATAATATTATACTTTTTTAATGAATTATCTACGCAATGTACAATCGTGGATTTTTACATGCACCATGACAAGGTATGGTCGGGCCGTACAACAGACAGCTGTGATCCGTAGAACATGTTATTGCCACTCTACATCTTTTTCTTTCTTTTTTTCTAATCCCCCACTTTATACGCCTCGTGCGCTTGAATCAGGCGTTATCGTCTTTATTCAAAAACTCCGCGTTCTTCGTGGATCGTCTAAGAGCAGAGTGCCGAGAATTTATAGCGACAATTTCCTCTCTATATAAAGTTAGAATTATACAGATACTGGTAAGCATTACACGAAAGGCAAAGACGGATGCGACTCCCAAAGAGACCACATGTCCTTGTTACTATCCTAATATTTTTTTTCGGAAAGAGAACTCTATTATTATTTGTCTATTCAGTCTGACCACACCATGTTACAACGTGGAACAGCTTTGCCATGATAGACATACTATAAATTGAATTATATAAATTCAGGCTCTCTTTACTCTGCGAGGGTTCTATTAACGATCGTTATGGTTTCGCTGGCTTCTTTTACCTTAACACTTTGTTCACTCGTCGCTTATTCCTTGCCACAAAAACGACTTGACTAGATTGTATCGCTAAAACGGTCCTTAACGATTTAAAATCTAAGTCTGTCATACATAAATGATCTGTACCTTACAATCTAATATCGTAATTAACACCTAATGGTAGAAGGATGATCTACTGTTATCGACGAGAACTATTTAGTAGTAAATCGTATATTTATTATACTTCCGTCCTTTCTCTCCCTCTCTTTCTCTCTTCTTTCATGCATTCATTCATATATATATATTAATAAGCACGCATATCGACGTGAAGTAGATCCACTGTTAATTTAAATTCATGAATATTTCTTTTGCTCGCACTTAAGCCTACCTGCTTTCTGCAAGTGTTAGTGCAGCCATCGAATGTTCCAAATATTATAAATGTGACAGATTCACGGAACTTGCGTCTAAGCGCGTTTTTTATAATATTTACAATGCCATCGTCACGGATCTTTCGATCCGCGAATAAAATTGTTCGCTGTCTGAATCATGTTTTTTATAGCGAGAAGTGTCAAATTCTCGACCAGTTTCGATCGCGCTAAAACGTCCGTATCGTCGTCGCATCTGAAACCACCGACGATGATACGCTAATGATGTAACACGTTGCGATACTCGCGCGAGCGTTCGATCGCTAGGACTACCTCTTCTTGCCGGGCTGCTTCGATGGCAACCGCTTCTTCAGCTTGTGATCCGTCGATTTGATCATTGTTGTCACCGTCGTCTTCTTTTTCGGTCGCTCCGGCGAACCGTTGCAGCACGCACAGTTCTTCTTTACTTGACAACGCAGACTGGACCTTCTGGCGCGACAATCTGTCGACTCCATCACAATATTACTCGCTTCGTCTTCCGATGCTTCCGATGTTTTATCGGTTGATATTATCATTGACTCTGTCATCGCTATCGATTCAACCTTGGGAATTCGTTTAGGAAGCGCTGTCGCTACCGCTATCGTTGATTTGTGATCGGTGCGATTTAAGATCACTCTTGCAGCATTCACCTGCAGTTTGTCTTTCTTTTTCATGTAGGTACAATGCCGATCGGCTGACAAGGATTTTAACGTTTGTACACTATCTTCCAGGCCATTGCTCAACGCGACGTTATCTTCTAACTGGCTACTGATAGACTCGCTAATGCTGGAGTCTTCATCGTCGGTGCTAGATCTTGTGCGCTCGGACATTGGGCTTTCCCATGCCATGTAGTCCATACGCATTTTGGACGATGATACGCGCTTTTTGTTGGTATATGTGTACTTATTGTGCGTGGACAGCAACGGCCCGGCCGCAACTAACGGTGATAATGGTGATGGTATAGTATGATGGTCTGCAGTATTACTGCTCAAGAGAGTCAAGCTTTCATCACCTGAACTTACTGCTGAAGTGTTGTTAACGTTAATGCTGGGCGGCAACGATTCCGAATCCAAGTCAATGTCCAGTTTCATGTTAAATGGTATACTGGACACACTACTGGGTGTTCCTTCTTTCGAGCCGATCCTCGAGGTCAGTTTTACGCGATGACTCATATCTTTTGACGAATCGTTTTCCAAAGAGCCAAGATTCGCAGGTGATAGCCTAGAGATATCTGAGTTGCTATTCGATGCTTCATCCTGACTTAGATTGTCCAGAGTCAATCGCATATGTTTCGCCGGAATGTCTAAATGCATACCCTCTTTTTCTCGCTTTCCTCTCTTTGATGAATTTAAAGTTCTCGCGCGTTGACTCGTGTTTCTTTTGCGTTCGTTCATCTTAAAATCGTTTGTTGGACTGGCGTCCCTACTGCCGCTAGATGAGTCCAGAGACCGGAAGTACGAGCTGTTGTACGGTTTCATGCTCAGAGACTGACTGCAGGATGCATCCTGCGAGGAATGGTCAAACGACGGAGAATGATTCGTGTCGAATAACAGGTCTGCTTCGGGAAATAGCTCGCTAGTGCTAGGTTCGTCAACTCCCAAATCTTCGCACTCCTCCGATAAGGTCTTTTGTACCTTGAGTTCGGAGTATGGAGTCTTTCTCTCTGTCCTTTGCTGTTCGCGGTCCAATCTAAGATTCTGCGATTTTAAATTCTTGTTGGAATATGAAGTATCTAAAGTGTGATTCATGAAGTACTTTTTCATGTTTGACTGATAGATCTGTCCAGCTGCCATTTCGATGCCTTGGCCTTTGTTGATAATTTGCAGTACGCTCTCGGAGTTGTCATCCCTAAAATTGATCATGGCCAGTCGAATTATCTTTCTTAAAAATTTTAAGATTTAATAAGGGATTTGACTTTATATAATATTTCAATAAATAGATAAAAATAATTTTTATAATATGCTCGATATAATTCAAGTCATTACCTGGAATATGTTTTCAATGGCTCGTTGCTTAGTACGTTCATCGGCGTAGGAACGTATCTCCATGGCGTATCCGGCGATATCTTTCCTTCCGATTCCCATGCTTCTTGCAAACGTGCGTTTTCGTACAGCAGCCCATTCCCAACTTTACAAGATCCATCAATTGTCTCGGTAGATTGCTGCACAGATGATTCTTGGCTATCTGAACTGCTCGGTCCACCGGTTACCAGGAACTGCGATGTGCTATCGATAACGCTCGATTGCTTGTTTGTGGAAGTGATACAAGATATAGACTCTATAAAAATAATACACAGGAAGAATTAATTATACATATATAATGTCTAATGCCGAGAGTCTATTACAAGCTATTTACAATATGAGCTATTCTAATACAAATACATTGCTCATACAATATTGTTTGTCAAAGAGTCATGTTTCTGTAAATTATAATACAGTTATGCAATCTATAGATAATTTGAAAAAGAGACACCCCTATAGTACTTGTAAAAATATTAAATAAAAATTTGTTTATTCGTATATCAATATTTTTCTTATTTAAGCAAACGTAATAAAACGAATTATTATATAACATAATAATTTATATATCATGTTATGAAAAAATAAAGACACAACTAATAAAGATTTAAAATGTGTAAAAAAAATAATAAAAATAATATCTTTTTAATAACTCTCTCTCTCTCTCTCTCTCTCTCTAGAGAAAATATATCTTAAACTCATGATATTTAACTCTGTTTTTATTCAACTATTTTTAATCAATCATAATAAATACATAAATAATTAAAATAATTTTGTATATTAAAAACAATAATTAGGAATTATTCCAATGCATATTACATCAAACAGCAATTAATAATATGTTAATATATCATATAAAATTGTGCTAATGTAGCAATTCATAAATAAAATAACATTTCCACAATTTTTTTGTCAGACAAGTTCTTACCAATTTTCGTATTATTCTGTAACGATGTGGCAATGCTCGTAGAAATCAAAGTTCTCGGCGATATGTTTTCTTGTATGCCGGTAGCGTTGTCGAATTTTCTTTTTACCGTTTTTGGTGAAATAATTTTGGTACCAGATGTTATCTCGGTAGACGCTTCCTTCGTATCCTTCTGCTGTTGCTGATTCGCGTCGTTCAGCATGACGTTCATATCAGTCTGCTGGGTAAAGGCAAGTGTAATGGCATCCGCTTGTAAAGATACTGACTTCTCGGTGTGTATTCCGTCCTGAGATTTCTTTTCCGGCGAATGAGAAACCGTAGCAGCTGGCGTAATACAGACCACGGCGTTTTCCGCTTTCAAGTTAGATAATTTATGTATGTTCGAGTTGAAGAATCTCGTGCTCTGCAGCGTCGGATTGCTGGTGATAACGCCGCATATTTGTTGATTGTCTGATATTTCATTGATATTCCGAGTTCCAATCAGACTGAGAGTGGAATTGTTTTTATTCACCATAATGGCGTTTGTTGACTCTGATTCGACTGTTATCGCGTTACCAGCGACATCATTTTTCAATGTCAGCTCGTTGATCACACTCGATTTATCCGCTGTAGACACCGTCACAGTATCTACCTCTCCAGCAAATTGCGTACTTCCGGTTTGCGATATTACCACAGGTGTGCTCTGAACGTTTTGCGCACCAGTTACTGTCTGATTGTTGTTCGATAACGTCTGTAGAGTAGGTTGCATCTTCATCTGTTTGACGGTTTGCGATTGTGGAACATGAAGTTTGTTCTGATTGAGAATGGACTGCAACAGTAGAGCGTTTGAAACTGTAGTGCCACCGGCCGAGCGTACAGTCGGCATAGTCAACAACTTAGACCCGGATACTATAGTAAGTTGATGCTGGGTGCCCTTCATTATCGGTAACACGATACTGGTAGGCACCAGTACTTTGCCTGTAACTGAGGCAAGCGCCTCGCTAACACTTACCGAACCGGACTGCAGCGTTTCTTGAACAATTAACGCACGCGGTTGGCCTGAGTTTGGCTCCGTAAAAATGAGATTACGCCGTTTCACGTTTAGTTCGATGTCATCATTCGTCAAATTGCGCACTTCTACGTTCGCTTCCGCGCTCATCGATGGCTCCTCTGGTGCAGAGAAACCAGCTGGACTGTCCTGCACATGTACAATACCACTAGACGAATCCTCGCTGCCCATAGTCCTACCAAGATCGTCTGTAGTAGGACTAAGTTCAGAAGTTTGCTGTCCAATTGGCTTGGCTTTACTGGAGCTTGATTTCTTCCTCTTTGACGATTGATTCGGATTAGTTGGCGGATTGGATCTTCTGCGGGGCGCCGGTTTGTTGTTAAGATCCGGCGAGTTTCTCAACTGTTCCGCGTACTCATCGAGAATCGCATAGATTCTTTGGGCAGTCTGCTCATCTTCTTGCGGTTTCTGTTGCGGTTTCGGTATAGGTGATGCCTTAGATGTATTGGTGGTGCTATTCTTGATTACTTTGGGTGTTGATTTCTTCACATTAGTTTTGACGACGGTGGTCCCAGCTGCGGTGGATGGCGATGTAGATGGTGTTTTGCCGGCCGACGATATCGGTGCTGGTGCTGGTGTCACGCATGGGCTCGAGGAACTCTGAGATGTGACGCTTAGCGCCGGCGACGCCGCTGGTTGACAATAGCTAGTGACTACAACTGGTGTCGTGGAATTGGTCGCTACTTTGGCGGTGCCACTGTTCGGATTCACATAGGCCAAGACCTTTTGCGGGTATACAGAATCCGGTTGAAATGTCACAGTATTGCCGTTGCTAGCAAATGGCTCGCTATTCGTGCTGGATTGCGTTGGCATCATTAGTTGTTGCGCCAGAGAACTAACGGATATCTGTTGCTGCTGTTTGCTTGCCTGAGTCTGTTGCGTGGTGGTCTGCGTCTGCACAGCTGTTGTAGTCGCGCTATTCGAGACCGACTGATGAGAATGAGGTTGGATACTTCTTTCCTTTACTTGCTCCAGCACACTCTCGAATTCCCGTAACTGTTCTAGAGTTGTCGAGCTCACCTGATTATTTACTTCAATTGGAGAACCGATTAGATCTGTTCTCACAGTTTGCTGTTGCTGTTGCTGCTGCTGCTGTTGCTGCTGCTGCTGTTGCTGCTGTTGTTGTTGCTGTTGTTGTAATCTCGGTGTCAAAACAGCCTGGATAGTTCCCGAGAGATTTGGTGATCTAACCGAACCACGAATGATGTTCAGCTTCACTACGGGAGTTCTGCCACTTGGTACCGAATTGCCGTGCGATATGATCGTTGGTGGAAGGATATTCAGTTGACTCGGATTATTGCTGGCTATCACTTTGTGCGTGTATATAACACCGGTATTCGAAGTGGCGTTCTGTACGAGTTGCGTGAGCGTTTGATTCGTGGTTTGATTCGAAGCGACGGAGGTGTTCGTTGGACCATTATTACCGGAATTTGGTACAATATTAACTATCTGCCTACCGGATGGCAGTTGCAGATTCGGAATGATCGATTGCACGTTGACGTTTCCGGTATTCGCTTGCTGTTGCTGATGCTGTTGATTATTTGGCACTGATGTCTGTACCGCTTTCGACAGATTCGTCGTTGTCTTCTGCACGGATGTTGTCGTCGTTTGTTGAACGCCACCAAGTGATGTGTCTGTCGCAGCATTGGCAACCCCACTTGCAGTCGCGTCGGTTGACAGAGTATACATAGAAGTTTTACGAAAGGCCTGTTGGAACTTGGGCAGACCAGCATTCTGACTTGTTTGCGAAGTATTCTTTACGGGACTAGTACCGGTCAGTCGATCATAAGTGTTTCTATTGGACGATGCACCGCCTGTCACATCTGCACCGCGTTGCGTCGTTTGTCGCGTGAAGTTTGCGCCGCTACTGTCCTCCAAATTCTGAAGACTTAAAAGGTTTCTCTGATTGGGGCCAATTTGATTAGGATTACGAGATGAGAGATGATAACTGCCATCGGGTTTGCAGATAACTTTTAATGATTCAGACGTTGTAATTAATCCGCCCGAAGACATCGTAGTCGTCGCAGTAGTCATTGTGGCTGTAATCACGCCTGCACTCGCGGGCGAGGAAGGTGACTTTTTTGGTGATTGGTTATTCTGTTGATTACTCGCACGACGGATATGCGTTATCGTTCTCACCGGACTTGACGATTCAGTAGCAGCAATGTCAATTTGATGGACCATTGAGACATTGTTAGCAACCATCGTCGTCGGGATCGTCGAACCCATAGTCGTCGGTGATGCGGCATCTAATGGCTGATTGCCCTCCTCGCCGATGATATCAGGCATTCCAAGGTTTGATGATGATCTCAATGGTGGTGTCTGGCCTGCTGGACTCATGCCGACACCGCTGTCATGGCCGCCTGTTGAAGACGGGGTACCCGGCAGCTGTATACTGCTGTTGCCACCGCCACTACTGCTTTGGTTGCTTGCTACACTTGGAGTACGCGTCGGCCGCGGAGGCGTACTGCCACTGACGCTAATGATCGTTGATGTGCTTGTAGCAGAACTTGGACTCTGCGGTACGCTACTTCTGGAGAGCTGGACAATATTCACCGTGGAATGCTGCCGCGGCGGTACCATCATATCCAACGAATTCAAACCAGGCACATTTTTAGCCAATATATCGGAATCCCTAGCCTTCTCAAGAATATCATACTTGCTCTTACCCAAGTTGGACTTAACGCCGAAATGACGACGATTGTCGCGACGTCCATCGATTATCACGGGGCAGCTCTTTTCGTTGGCGTTATTCTTGCCATTTGCAGCACGCTGGTTCTTTTTCTTCTGATACGTTATTACACTCTTATTATTTGACGAGAACGGCATCGTCTTCTGTATGTTCATCAATTCACTGGTAATATCACCACTACTCAACCGCTGCTGAGGTTTTTTGCCGTGACTTGCTAATTTAAGATCTGCCTCGTCCGTACGTGTCAATACAATCTTTGGGTTTAGATTTAGTGTGCTTAACAAGGGCGCAAATTTTGTAATATTGTTGGTTACTTGTTGCTCGACATCCGTTCGGTTGCCGTTGTTAGTATCTTTGTTCTTATTTAATATATTCTTCTGCAGAATCTGCGAAATCCTTGTCGGTTTTTTCGAGCTTTGCGGCCTGAACATCCTAAGAGTTTTAAGCACAGCTGGATCGCTTCGCCTTTCAGTAATAATGAATGGTGCCGCAGCGGTATACGCTGATCCTTTGATCGTTTCGCGCTTGTTTTCGTCCATGTCGGCAGAAAAGAGAGTGATGATGTCATTGCTGCTAACGTCAGAACCACTGGCATCCTCGTGCGTGTTCGAATGTCGCACTTCATCATTTACTAACATGTGAAAATGTGAGACGGAGTCGACGCTGAGTTTCGATGTCTTTGAATGTTTCTTACTGGGCTCCTTGCTGCTAGATTTGTTGGATTTCTTTTTGTTTTCTAACCGACAACCGTCACTACCTAAGCTATCAGTCTGACTGTCCTGTGTATTGCTATCGCTATCTGATACTGAGCTGATCCTATTCCTAAAATGCTTTGGTTTACGTTCAACGCTGTCATATTCACTTTCGGATGATTCCAATCGGTGGATTTTCCGCGCTCGTGCGGTACGTCGCGATACTCGCAACATACTACTGTCAGAGTCCGTGGTAGTATCATCTAAACTGCGACGCACCGACGATCGTTTATAACCTGCTGCCGGCTGAAAGCTACCAAATTGCTCAGAACTATCGGATGGTAGGTCAACCCACTGCTCATAGCCTTTTTCAATGCCGAAGAAGACATCTTTAGTATCGTCTTCCGATGGCCAATCTTTAAACTGTGAGTAATCGATATTGAGATATTTAAGTTCTTTATTCGTATTACGCATTTCTTCAGCGTTTTCGAGATATCGCTCACATAAATTCTTCAACTCCTTCCAGTCCAGCACCCAATTGAGCATGTGATAACGCGGACTACTCAGAACTACGGCTAGATCGTCGCATAGTTGCGGTGACAGACCCAATTTTTCCCCGTCGAGAATTTGGCTAGGTACAGACTTTTCGTCGTAATTTGCCGAGCCTGTCACAGGCTCGCTTTTGATCAAGATCGACGTGTCTAACGTTCTCTCTACGTTCTCGCCTGGTCTCGTGCTTACTTCGCCCAATTGTGATTTATCGTCGTTCAGTTGGTTACTGCCAGAGAATTCGTCACCATTGAAACAAAGCTTGCCGAGCATCTCGGACGAAGATTCACGCTTTAATTGTAACGTACAATTGCCGCTGGTCGACGTTGTTGGTATTGTTATGTCAGACGATCTCATATCGGGAGTCTTTGTCGTCAACAGGCTCTTTAACAACTTATCAGTCTGTTCAAATGTTTTCGTTACGTGATCATTTTGAAAATCTACGTCTTTTGCGATGACCAAATTTTGATCTACTGGCTGCGCTTCCGAAATTGTCGTACTTAGTAAAGGCGTCGAGGATGTTTCCGTGACGTTATCATTTTCTATTGACTCGGATTTTATTTCAACTTCAATGCCTGATATAGGAAGATGATCATTTTCTATAATCATTTCCTTGGGTTCCTCCTTGATTTTAATCTCTTCTTGTAAACCGCCATCTTCCTTCGCCTTTCCACACGCCACCGCCAATTCTTTTATTCTGTCATAGCAGGTTCTAGTAGGATGTAAGGAGAATGCTGTCAAAACGCATTCTCTTGCGATGCCAATACTGCTGTCTACTACGTCCGCCAATTTAAGGAATTGCGTGCTCAGACGCTTGGCGGTCTCGCGCACCTTGTCCTTGTCCGATTTCGCCTTCTGACTCTCCAGCTCGTTCATATCTGTTGTTAACGCTCTGATGTACAGTTCAATTACCAATGGTTTTATACTCTCGCCAAACTGCAATTAAAAAGAAATCCAAGAAAAATAATATTTATTTAATTAAAAAAGAATTATTCAATTTTTCCTCTGAATACAATAAAAAATCTGATTTTTTTGGCATTTTATTAACTTTTAATATATTTAACTTTTATTGATAATTCTATTCGTATACAATACAATTTTTTACTAATATTTTTGGCAAAATGAAAAAACCATATATGCAAATATTTTTTAATATTTTTCAAATATTAAATTTGTCAGATTAAATCTTTACTTACATGTTTTGCAAGTACTGCACAGAAGATATAAATATGTTGAGCACTTTCCGCGGGTTCAATTAATTTTCTAATCATGCCAGGTAAAGTCAGCGAAACGTCCTTCAATTTTGCGTGCAATAGCGCCCAAGAGTTTAAAATCTGTTCCAAAATATTTGCACCGGTTTCCGATACCGGTCGAACCATCCCGGCAGTAACGAGATACTGCGCGACCAATTCCGCGGCCTTTATCGAATTTCTCCAAACACGCGCCGTTCCATACTTCGTTGGCTTCTCACCGCTAAGCCTTTGGACCAATTCAAGCCCGTCGTTGAGGTCCATTAATTTTAACTGTAACAAAGCGCAGTTATGAATTCCAGCACGGCAATATTCGCACAGAACGCAAAATAGGCTTTTCTTCAAAGAAACGAATCGACCTTCTAGATGCATTTACTATAATTCTACTTTCTCACGATTCCAATCGTTTGAAAAATATATTTTTAAATTTTCTGAATATATTCTCGTACTTTTGCAGATCTTGGCAAATTAAGCAAGTGGGTCAATATGTTTCATAGCACAGTAATTTGACATTTTCGATGATGCTTTCTTGGAATACTAGATGTGTCATAATTTCACTTCTCCAAACTAGATAAATTAGTTCAACTCGAGAATAATTCTTTTTTGTGTAAACGATCGTGCATTGAACTGCACTAAATTAAATATTGTGTATACATATATTGATTGTTCTATAATTTACATTTACACTATTTAAAATTATTATATAGATATATTACAAATTAACTCAATATTTTCTTAAAATAGTAAAGGGAATAAAAAAATAGATATGATATTCTCGATCAAAGTAGAAAAACTACTATGAGAGTTTCATTTTCTTCCTAAAAAATTATCTCAGATGATTAGTCTCGTCATCAAGGATATCGGTTGAAATTTGAAGATTCATATATATTTATACTTCAGCAATTTTTGACAATCGAATAAACATCCCTTGCAATAATCTGACATTTTCGACACTTACTTGAGCGAAAATATCTTGCGTGCGTTTCAATTTGTACAAGAGGACGATGTACACGTCGATCATGTAGTGGACGTGATGAGACTCCGAGAGCGACCGCAGCTGATCGCTTCGTCTGAGGGAGCGCACGCACGCAGCGGCAAGGTTCACCGCTATGTCCTCGCAGCGGTCCTCACAGAGTATCTTCAGTCTCATCGTCAGCAGCTCGCCTTTCTCCGAACAGCAGAATTCTGGAAGCATATTTTCCTGTGGTTGCTATTCAACAACGCCGCAACTATTTATAGGATGCGAGAAAACTATATATCGTTGATGAATTCATTTACTAATTAAATTTAATTATTAAAAAACTTATTCAGGCACCACAAATTATTCTCGATCAGAATTAAAATAAAATCAAAAGCTGAAATAAACATCATGAATGTAGAAGACAAAAGTTTTTCGAATAATATTGGTACAAATGATGATATAAATGACACTTTTATTGTAATTTATAATACTCTATAAATTTTCATATACAGCGATTAAAAGACAGCTAAATAAATTAAGATCAGTTCTCAGATTAGTTGTGGTTTTTAATAAATTCTACCATAATGATCGTGCTACATTTCTACTTTAGTAACGCCTAGTTAAGTTAAGAGTTAGACAGGTGCGCGCAAATATACTTGTTCAAACAACCTACTTTTTCAAGATTGGGCACAAGGATATTATAAGATGATACATGATCTTACTTTTTATTCATATTTAAAACGGGATTAAAACCATAAACCATTATATATTGAAATGATGATAATTCGTTTCTTTTTACCCTCCTCATGTTCGTAATCATCCGATTGGCCGTTAAGTATGCTGTCGAGGATGGGATGCTTCCATGGATTGTTCACCAAATCCAGCAAAGCGGTACACCTGGGTGCAACGGGATGTTGCACCAGCTGAGACGCACACCTCCGCAGCGTTACGTGAAGGTGCGTTTTGGTGACGGGTGGCAATTTCGGCCACTCCCCGCGCAATACCAATGTCAATGTATGTCTGTACAAAGAAGAACAACAGTATGAGTGAGCCGCAATGTGAAAAAACGGGCTGTAGGACGTGTTTGCGCGGACTTGTTTTCGTATTTGCTTCTCAACATTTTGCGATCTACGTCGGCAGTGCCTATCGCGAAGCTGAATGTTAAAATAAGAAGAGAAGAGAAAGACAGGGAGATATCTGCAGCGTGGAAAATCAGAATTCTTGTATAGGTTTAACTTAACCAATATTTTAGTTCTAAGCAAATTGTTATCTTTCTTTTTTTTTTTAATTAATTATTTTTAAACCAATAATATTATATATTATATAATTAAATTTATATTAGAAGAAGAAGAGTGAATATTGGATGAAAAGTAGAGTTAATTTAGATCTTGTTAGTTCGTAATAATCTGTTGCTTCATCTTAGTATTAGCGATCATAAAATCATGAACAAAAAACTCGTTGGAAATTAAATTAAAAGTCGGACTTCTTGATTACTTATTCGCGTCTAATTCACCCACAAGATTTAAACTACTTATTCACGTCTAATTCACCCCCAAGATTTAATTCATCCACCAACAACAATGCTGAACGGCTCCCTAATCAGACCTCCATTACGGAAGACTGGAAACTTCACGAAGAATAATGTTCTCGCGCATCCCTTTTGGACTATCCTGTACCCGTAGGGTGCCTCGGTTGTATACCCGTCACGTTAACGTGAATTTGCGTCGCATTGCTATTCAAAATTCCGGGATCGTTTGTATGACGGTGCTACATACGTGCAGATTCATTACTCAGTGCAGTCTGCTTCTCTCTCCACTTCTCTATCTCTCTCACGCTTTTTCTCTCTCCCATCACGTTCATCTGCCGTAGAACGACGCTGTTACATCGAAACTCGTTTCACGCTACCTTTGTGTCGAAAAAGCTCGAGCCGGTAATACAAAAAAAGTCGCCTGTGTATATGCCGTGCGTTAAATGGGTCATATACGGACGCGAATAGATCTCATAATGCAATAATAATGAACATAATTAAGTGGTATAAATATAACTTGGCGGTTTCGACATTATACATTCAATTATTTAAATACTTAAATAAGATAATGATATAGCAATGTAAACTAAATGGATAATGTTAAAAAAATTCTCATTCACTCCAAACTCATTATTTCTAAAAGAAGCATTTAAAAAATTACATGCAATAAAAATGTGTATTTTCAGCTTACAAAAATAGACTATTGGTTTGTTGAATGAGTTCAACTGTTATCACCCTTTTTCTAATTAAAATACGAACTTTTACACAATTACAATATTTCGTTATTAAAAATCAAAGATCATAAGATAAATATCACATGGTACCATTTTTCAATGATGTAATTTGATAAAAAATAATCATAATTACTATTTATAAATAAATAAAAATAATTATAATCAATATTCATAATATCAATAGTGTAATTATCAGACATCTATAAAAATAGACGACTGATGTTTTTAAACTATTATTGGAATGAATTTGCTTATCTTCTCTTCACAGTTGGAAAAAATATGTTAAATTTAATATAAATCGCATGTCCCAAATGGTCCACTCAAATTTTTGTGTTAATTTAACATAATATGAGTATGTTGAATAGTAACACGGATACTATGTTTATATTTCAACAAAAATGTAATCTTGAATAAAATTTGAAGAGAGTTATGTGTACAATCAACATAATTATTATGACAAAATTAACATATAACAAATGTTCTCTAAAAAGATGATTCGCCTAACAACAACAACTGCCCATTTCTGTTATAGAGTTTGGCCCCTTGTGACCAACAAGAGATGTGATCTGCCGCGGTGTTTTATCCCGGCCCCTACCCCCTACTGGACTCGTCAGTAAGGCATTATAGTGAGAGCCTACCTTAGACGCCTGGGGGAGTTTTTAAGATCGAGGTTCTATATGAAGGGATTTCGCGTGTCTCGAATACTTGCAAGAATAGGCGCGAGTCTCGTTGGACCTCTGGTGGCGGGTCGCCACAATAGTAAAATCAACACCCTTATTCTATAAATTTTAACATATTTACTAAATACGTGCAAATTGTGTTACTTTAACATATTTTTTTAAATCGTTTCAATAACTTTATATTTCACATTCATTGTATTCATTTAACATAAGAGACATATGTATGTTAAATTTACATCTAAATGTGTACCTTACTTAACACAAAAACTGTAACCAGCAGATTTTTTCACAAAAATACACAAATTTTCCAACTGTATCTCAAGAATGCAATTGTAGATCATCATTACGATATATCCTTAATGTTGGTCTTTACAAAAATAGGCTACTGTGTTGTTGAATAAGTTCGACTTAACGCTCTTTTTACAATTAAAAAATAAACATTTGCATAATTATTTTACATAAAAAAATTTCATATTGAAAAAAGTCATAATATAGAGATCACATGGTCTATCTTTTTTCAACAATGTAGCGACAATAAACGATCATAGTCATGCAACGATGTATCCTCTCGCCCGTACGTGTCTTTGCGAAACGAGTTCTCCGTTAATCGAGGGTCGCATAATCACAGATGCAACAACAGCAATCGACGAACGACGTGTACCCACCTGTGAGCCCATTCTATGAGAGACTGGATGGCCTCGGGCGGTGCCGCAGGAATATAATTGGTGACATGCTCCCAAGCTGACAGAAGCGCACACACCTTGTCGCCGTACTTCTTTTTGTTGTCATTCAGTGTTGCTTCGAGCCCCTGCGAAGCAAAGAAATCGTTGGTTCGATTAAGAAGAACAGAAAAATCGGAGAATGAAGGGATGTTGAGGGATACTAATCGTCACGTCACGTGGGATACAACGATTCATCCTGATAAATAGCATTTTTCGTATTGTATCGAATCCTTCGATATACTCTACTTGTCAATTGTCTTGTATACAGTTAAGGGGTATATTCCCTATCTCGCCTAATTACAAATCGTATTTATCTGCAAATATATATTTGCTATTTCCGTTGGCGGTAAACAACCAATATTACTTTACTTTAAGTAACTCTAATTAATTAACTCAATGTGTTTGTCTGTTTCTATATCTTATGTATCTTCCAGCTTCCTATACCCAGCTTCGCTTTCAATCCGTCTATCTTTCATTTCCACCCATTTCCAACATCACAAACATTTCCGCACATTTAATAAATTAGATTTGTAGAACTAAAATGTAAAATATACACTTTTGCCTCTCTAAAGATTTATATTTGTTTTCACTGAAGAGGTATTAAAATATATTAAGTACATTAGTATTACATATTGCAGTACTAATATCATTAATTTAAGATTAAAGGCAATATTTATATATTTAATATTGAATTCTAAAATAAAATTAAAAACAGTAGACTTATCCATAATTAATTGACATTGATAAATCGATCGTATCGAGAGATCAAGAAATGTAACAGAAGATAAAGAAATAAATCCAAAAGAGGTAGACATGTGAAAAAGATTATCAACAGAAAAAGAAAAGTTTTCACTAACGAAGAAAAAACAAAATATTGAAAACCATGACCTGGTAAAACGTTCCTTGAAGAACAATGTTTTTTAACACTCGAACATCAGCATATTCAACAATTTTATGTCGACGATATGACGTGTATTGCGTAAAAAATACGTTATTGTCGCGTGTGAGGAAATAGCTTTTCGATTATGCAATTTCTTGGAACACGCTGCTTTTGTGAGAAGAAGATTATCTTTATTGCAAAGTAATATAAGTTCGAAACTAAAATGCCTAGTTTCATAATAAAAATTTATTTTATAATTCATAAAGATGTTTAAGCGACACAAACAAGGAGAAGAGAGAGAAGAAAAAGTTATTTCAATAATAATTATTCTACAAATTATCTAAAAGAAAAATTTGATTCTCAAAAATACGAAATTAAGCTTCAATACTTGAACAGGAGAAGGATTGTAGAAGAGCTTAACTATGCCATATGTTCCCAAGAACGTCCCATAAGAACCGACAACGTTGGTTTCGAGACTCGAAGGAGTTTCCATTTTGAATGGGTTAAAAGGGACCCTACTGCATCTGTGCGCTTGTTTCTTTCAGTAGAAAGCGCGGCCGCACATAACAAGCGTAATGACATTTATCCAGGGGACTTTGAAGCGACATTCCCTTGGCAAACAATGTTTACCAAGGACCACGTAGTTCCGCGGAGGATTGATAACGCGGTTAAAGCTGTGTGGAGTTATTCGGGAATCGTATTATTCAAAGCAATTACCTGCGCGCGCTAAGGTTTGTGCAAGACGAAAAAAGACACAAAATAAAACTCATTTCCTTCATCGAGGATTTTACATGAGATTCGATTCATATATTTCGCTTCGAAATTTTTCGTTGACCAATTCACAGTTTCAGAAAGAAAAAACTATTTTCTTAATTACAAATAGCAACAAATAAATTAGTTTATATTATTTTTATAATAATTACTATTTTTATTATAATTTATTATTATTATAAAAATAATAAGACAATAAAAAAATTATTTTATAATTTTAATATTATTCATAACTAATGTAATATTATTCATATAATAACTAAATAAATCATAACTAATTCATAAATAATGTTCAATAGATATAATTAAGTATAAAATTTAATATTTAATATTTTACTTTTATATGAAATTAAAATATTCGTAAGTTTTGTTAATTTTTATTACAATTTTATTATTGTATAGTTATTATAAATACATATCTAAGTTTCATTAATCTTAATAAGTATAGCAGTATAGAAGAGTTTAAATATTATCGAGACGGTTATTTTATGAGCGAAGATATTTTGAGACTGCAATATTTTACCCTCGCAGGATAAAAGCTTAGGTATATAGCGTGAAATGCATCAAAAAGACGATTTGCGTCAATTCGATGCACCACCGTAAATACGTTAGATCGGATGGAATTCAGCAATAAACCGCAAATATGGCGATTGAAACGAATTTGACATGGCACAAATTCGTCGAGTAAATGTCAGCCTTGATTTCCATTGATTCTTTTTATTAATCACAGTTCGATGCATTTTGATTCGCTAACGTTTACAAGAATAAATGAATGAACTGACTGTAAACTAAATAATATTGATGATGTAACGATAGTAGTAGTAGTAGAATTCCTCTTTCTCTGTCAATTGTTAACTAAAAGATATCGAGACTTGTGTTACTGCCGCACACTCGTAACGTTACCATCATGAACATGAGAAACGTTTTTCCTTTGTTCGCAAACATTTCTCTTCACATATTTGAAAGGAGTATTTCCTCCGTCAAGAAATGGAGAAAATATGGAAGTTCTTATCTATCTCAACAAAGTCTTTATGTCACATAATATTATTCTGTTTGTTATCTTCTGACATATTTCGCTCGTGCGCATTTACCATGTCAAAAGATAAAAATTGCCAAAAGAACCAATAACGATATCGAAAATGAGAATTGAAGGGTTCGATGTCACGAAGGGTTCAGCATAACAGATGACAGTATACTGTTAAATTCATAATCTCAAATTATACTCAATTTGAGTTATTTTTAATTTGAGTTATTTTAAATTCTATAGGTCGCTCTTACTCAATATGTCATTAATTTAACTAAACAATGAAATTGAATAATTTAACTCAAATATTAAATTTAATTCAAATTTAGTTTATTATTATTAAGTGCCTATGTTAATATGAACTTGTTGTTTACTTTGAAACTAACTACAGAAAAGGATTAATTTACATTTTGATACATTTTGATATGGAAGTTAAAAATAACAAAATATTATTTAATTCAAAAAGCTACCATTGCTCCTTTAAAAATATCTAACAGTGTACCTTTTCGATTCTTAAGAGCTTAAAAAATTAATCTAAATTAATTTCAATTCGATTGTATTATTGATTATTAATGTTTGCCATTTTGTATTAATAAATGAGACGCACCTTTAAAAAATATTCTTGTCCTTTGGAGCTCGTAAACGAACCACTTTGCGCCGCTGGATCCACCGACGATTGAAGCTGTAAAAATAAAATATGATAATATTAGAAAATATATTCAGATGTTGGCACTATCGTACTTTCTTACTCTAAAATTAAACTTCAAGCGGTTTAGACCTAACAACGAATGCAGCACTGAAGGAATACAAATTAGCATTCGCGAAAGTATCGGTTTCAGGAAAGGATGGGTATTTTTAAACTTAGTTGCAGTGTGACTCGTCCTAGAACCGTTCCGCATGCAATGTAATCGGTCACGTTCGCTCGCGTATTACACGAACGATGAGAGAGCTAGCTGGTATTTAATGTTGCGAACGCGTCGCGAATGCATTTCGGTGTAAAATCGGTAAAGAAGAAACCGAAGGGAAAGATGTCATTTTTGCAAGGCGCACGCCGAGACGCTTCTCGCGAGAAATTACCAGCGACGGCATTCTCGGCCGATGTGACGTATATCCAAGAACATACTCGACACGTCGCCCACAAATTTCCCACGAATGCGCCTGATGTATCGTGCATCCGGAATACCGAGGGGTGTGTGGCGAGATTCCCGGGGTGCGACATGGGAGAGCCACGTCTTTGCATCCGCGATCGGTGGTGAAAAACCGCGAGAGACGTGAGGGTAAACACAGCGCGAGACACGACGGCGCTCCTTTAACCTGCCTACGCGCGGATCTCCGATATAAAGAGAGGGAAAAATCCGGAGCGTTTCATCGTAATGGATCGCGAGACTCATCTATGTGAACATTGCCTCCTGCAGTATAAAACTGTAGAAGAAAAATTTATCTCCAATTTAAAAACCAAAAGAAATGTGTTACGGATAAAATAAACTTGTTATATTAAATTAATCAATGCATCCTATTTATAATGAGAGACCTTTAGAAAGAAAAGAATGTAAATTCTTTTAATAGAATGAGACTATTCTATTTTCGTAGAATGAGTCCTTAAAAATGTTGAAAATTTAGAAACGCTCTCGCGTTTTATATATATGATTTTCTAATTATTATATACAACACCTTCATGGAAATAACGTGCTAGTTCGATATACCTGTGCAACAAGTTTTCGTAAATTTTTAAAGGCTGCGAACACGCGAGATTATTACAGCGAAACGCTGCAACATGATGTCCTACCTGTGCAATACAGCAACGGCTACGTCACAAATCAATTGTAATGTTGGCTTTTATTATGAAATACAGGTCAATAAGTTCTCCCGAGGCAATTTCCTTCTGTATGCTTGCTCGTACGTATGTGAGCCATACGACCGCAATATTTATCCTACGCTGAACGTCACAGTTGCAGTTTCGGCGCTTTTTGTTTTCTTTTTATATCGTACACTTCGTCAAATGATCTAATATAGCACATATATATATGAGGTTGTCATTAATAGTATAATTAACTATATTAGTATATATATACGAAAACAACTATAAACAGTTGTTTAAAAAAAATGACTATACTATAAATTACAATTAAATTAGAGAGTTGTATTTTTTCCTCTTAATATAGCATATGTAATATATGTATATAGCAATACAATATATCATTTAAATTATTTAACTTTAGAGTGAAAACAAATTTTTTAAAAATCCTATTTAAGTATAATATACTCTGCGTTTTATTAAAATGAAATACACACACACACACTCACGCACAAAAGAGTATTTAAATAAAGTCTAAAATATTTGCAATATCTATAGGATATTTAGATTTCCTAACATCTCTCTCTTTGTTATTTTAATAGCAATTTCTCTTGTTAGCAATTTTATTTCTCGCCAGACATAATTCCTCTTTTACAATGTTGCAACTTTTCAGATGCACATTTTTATACACAGCTCCAATTTCATACTGGCTTATTCAACTTTTTATAAACTTTTTTCTAGTGATCATTTTAGTTTTTAATCCGTTCCATTGCGCGCGTGTATTTTCGTGATGTGTGAGTAAGTTCGCTTGCAATCCGCTTAGCGTTATCATGTGACAAAAGCGCCGGAAATATCGAGCGTAGCCCAGGCTTAATTTCGCGGCATTTTATCAAAATCGATTTATCCGTTGGGCTCGGGCCGATCTCGTTCGCGAATCTATGGATTGATTCGACGGCACGACCAACTTTCCGGAGAATTACGAATCTGGGTCAAATGGATCCATCGCGTAATAACTTTTGAGGTTGACATTGAGGCAGCGCGAAATTCCTCGAGGCTTTCATTCGCTTGAACGATATTACGAAAAATGAAATGCTTGCTTCTGTCATATAGACGGATCTCGTTCATAGACTATTGTTATCGTGTTGTGTAATTATTATCAATTTAATTTGAGCTTTACTTGCTAAATTATTTGATATTAGAAATAGAAAAAACGCAAATGTGTAGGATTAATTAAAAGTTGAAGCATTAAAAAGATACAATCCTCGCATTGTCAATTCTTTTTCATTTTACATTGTGAAAAGTTTATCAGAACTTTACAGTATTCGTATACCCCTCATACCTCTGCGTAAGCCATTTTAATTTTATATTTTTATAGAACATTCATTGCATAGAAGAAAATAGCAGGTCAATCAAATGTAATCCAGATGGCAATAAAAATTGCCAGGAGCAGGTGCGGGACTTACAATTTCTTTTCCAAGCACGCACGCTGCCCGATCGTTAGACTGGAGCTTTATTCGAAAGCACAACTCGCAAGCTCGGTTACTTACACAGAAAGTCCCCCGACCTCTTCCGCCATCGCCGCGTAACTTTGCCCATTTGCAACTTTCGTGTTGCGCCCCCTCCCCTCCCCCCGCGAACCGCCCTTCTCCGTAAAGAGGACTTCGTTTCCCCCCCGATTTCGTTTTCTTTCCGACGAAAATGGTTTTACGTTCTCACATAACAAATCCCGCAGACGGCGCGGCAGAGAAACCCCATTAATATTCCTTTTTTTCTCACTCGTAATTTCCGTTTCCGTGATCCCGAGGTGGACAAACGTTAGGATAGCGTCTCTGCTTTTCTGCAAAGTGCTATTTCATGAGACGTGAGGAAACAAGCTTATGAAGAAGGCACGATATAGAATAGCAAGATGTTCTTCTTAGGAGAGATTTAAAGTTTAGTTTTCTTCTAAATAGACAATGCATACACAGTCAGGTTAATTCTAAAATTGAAATAAATATATTTTTATTCTTCAAGAATAAAGGAGGTAATAATAATAATAATAATAATAATTGTAAACTATAATATTAAGTACTTTAACATTTGTGTGTGTGTGTGTGCAACTGTGTGTAAATCTCCAGATTAAAATTTAATTAAATCTAATATTTTATCAAGAAAAAGGATACACGATGAAGTGAATGAAGAAAGTTAATTGGAAAGTTCTGCTATTTATTGATATATTTAACCTTTAACCTACAGTCACCGTTCAATCTTTTTATTGCATAAATTTATTCCATGCATATCTTGATGCATACCTTATTTAATCTTCTTGAAGAACATTTATTCTGGAAGAAAAAAAAAAAAATCTGCTCTATTTCAAATAACAGTTTCAGAGTAATGCTATTCACGCAAGATCAAATCGACGATACAATAGAAACAATTAAACTTCCTGCTATAGCAGTTTCTCAATCGATTTTGGATTAAACGAGTATTATTGTTTTCCGAAGTACCATATATGTCCAAACATGTAACAAACAAATATTTGAATAAAAATTATAACTACGATGAAATTTCAATAAAATAAATGTTTTACAGCAAGGGCTTCCCGTAAAATTCATTAGCATTAATGGAATTGTTGTTTCGTATAATTGCAAGTGGTTATTAATTTGCTATGTATTCAGTGCATCATTCAATATGCAGTGAATACGTAAATCGTTCAATACGTGATAGTAAAGAGAATCGCGTCAGAATCCAATTATATTCTTCCCGTCTTTTTTTAATGATTGCTTTATGTAGAATGTATTACAGTATTATTATATTGTAGAATTTAACAAGGTATTAAAAATGCACATCGAATCATTTATATATAAGACCGAATATAAAGCGACGTATTCTTACATATATTTTAATTATATCGTAGTTATAATTGAATTCTGCCTTAAAAAAGTATTTATAATTTACTTCTTTGAAATGTATTCTCAAATATAATATATATGTATAATATTATATATATATACAGATTTTTATATTAATTACAAACATTTTTATATAGTTTTACATAACTAATCATTCACATTTCACATTTTTAGTATAAAATTTAATAAACTATAAATTTATTGTAAATGTTTTACTTTCGTGAATTTGCTAACTATTTAGAGCATATATTAATAAATATAAAAAAAAATTTTATCCTTGCTTTAATTACCTTCTCTCTTTAACTCGAAATCTTAATTTCTCTACCTAAAACTAGTTTTTTATAAACTTTATCAATTTAAAGCGGACAAAATAATTTTAACTAAAAAAATAAAGAGAAAAAGAAATTTTCTTTATATATTGGAAATAAAAATAAATCCCACAGCAACATAAAATGCAGGTCGTATCGGTTTTCTAATTTGGCGCAGCATCCAATCGTTCGTGAAGCTGACAATCGATATATACGTACAATTATTAATAAGAAATTACTATTTTGAGATACAGTTAATTATATTTGGAAAATTCTGATGTCTGCTGTTGAAGGAACGGCGCGTGTCGCCGACGCATTTTGCGATTTCATTCTGATAATCGACAGCCGATACGTCATCGAGGGATATCCGATATCAACCAATATTTCGCAAGGAAATAATGCAAGATCTATTAAAACGACGAAATGAACAACTACTGATTCGATTAGGAATACCGTGCCGTAAAGCACAGTATGATATGGATTATTAAATACAATAATATATACATATATATAATAATAATATATCCAACGATATATTTGCGAGGCTAAAATTATAATTTAATTATCTGAGAGTTAATGAGCTTTCTAATTTTCTCTGCCAGTGTACATTGAAAACAACAATTATTACCTATCCGACTGGTTAAGTTCCGTAAAATTGATTTGATCTCAAGCATGAAAACCGGTATAA